AAGTGCTTGGCCAATTGCCAGAAAGATCTCTTGCCTACACCTCTCAGACCTATGGGTAAAGTACTTCATGTCCTGTAACCCATACTGAGTTAAAAATTCAATAAGTGGCAAGACCTTCATGTTGGAAATTTCTTGTTTGGCAGTGAAATAAAATGCTGCAAATGCTTGCACCAAAACCTCATCAGCAACTTCAGCTGTCTTATCTATCTCCTTCTGTAACCATGATGCCCGCTGAAGAAGTTCTTTTCCTACTGATTGCTTGTGCTCTTCTGAGTTGCCATGCTCTAACACTGCGACCTTTCTGTATCGTGTACCGGGTGCAGAAGCATATTTCACATCTTTCCCTGTTTTGTTATGCTTTTTACAGAGACAACAGAACATACCCTTGCCCTCTTCCAAGGCCAACCACCATACACCACTTTTACGACAAAATGCAGCATCATCATCAACCCATTCGTGTTTGAAGACATGAGGCTTCAATGGTAACTGCCTGCTTTTTTCACTAGAGGACAGTGACTTGCAACCGTTTTTGGCACAAAGGACATGATTGTGTAATCCATGGTGAAGGTCACTCCCAAAAGCTTCGTCCAGGATTCGCAGGTGCTGCTGTTCAGGAATAGTACAGATTTTTGAACTGGCATCTATTGATCTTGGTCCCAAGGGCATTGGTTTATCAATTAACAAAGGTGCATCTGAGGACAGTACTGCTGAAGGTGCCACTGTACCTGGTATTGGCTCATCAATCAGCGGGGTTGTAACTACTGGGGCGGGTATTGCTGATGGTTCTACTTCAACTTCAATTTGTACACCTTGATGGTCATCATGGACTGTGTTGTTTTCTAAAAGATACATCACATATGAAAGGGCTTCTAGCCCAATGTATACCTTTTCCCTTTAAATTTATAGATTGACTCTTGCGAAAACATTAAAAACATTTGCTTCCAGTACTTTTATTCTGTCTTAAATGTTCTCTTTCCATAGTGCGCAGCCCATGTAAAGAAAAGCGGGTTTTTCCGACGATAACTTTGGGGTGGCCTACATGAAGAATCGTTTTAAAGTCAGCGGTCTCTCCGCTTCCGATCGCTGCAAATGTGTCTTCACAGTTTACAGTCTAAAATATTTTACTTTTAATCTAAACTTTTGAGTCCATGAAGGCTGCTATTTTTGAGCATCCTGTTAGCCAATTGACGGTAAAGTATTTTGAACACTTCAAGACGAAGAATTTTCGGAATAAAGGCAGCCTTTGTCGCTATGGTCAACAAGTAATTCCATTCGTGGAAGTCGCACTTTCCAGGAAACTGTAACTGAAAACTAATCATGCAGAAACTTCGAAAGGTTTACAGAAAAAGCTTCTTATGGTAAGTTCTTATATGGTACTATTACCTGCTTCGTCGCGTGTTTTCTTGCTTTCTCTGGATAAAAATGACAGCATAGACTGCTGTCGCTTCATCGTGAGCGGCGAACAACAGATGAGAAATGACACAAATGCACGCGTCTGTGCACCTGCACGAAGGAATGTAGAAAAGCACGCGAAAAAAATCGCTAGTCCAGTGCTTCATAGTACCAGTCAGCAATTAAATAAAGTCCTCAGAGACAAAAGATGTGTATACTTTTTATTTTTCCATATTTTCATTCATTTACTTATGCGGAGCGGATCACAACTTGCGTATTTTTTAAAACAACTTATATAGTTTTAGCAAACCTTCAAGCGGTTGCAGGCAGTAAGAACTGTTGCTTCAGGCGGTAAATTTTACCGGTTACCGCCTGATAAGGAGAACACTGGTTCAGTTCAGTTAAATTTATTCTTTTTGCACCAAAAAAGAGCTAAAGTGGCAGGGAAGCCCAGAAAAATGAAATCTGAAGGTTTCACATTTTGTTGGCACTTTTGAAAAACTTGCCCGTAAGGTCCAAATTTTGTTGGCTTCTTCGAAGAAAAATCCAACCCTCCAGTTCAAAAACCTGTCATCCTTAGGTGGAGTGCAGATAAAAAATGGAACGCCCTATACAGCCTGGGATTCCTAGTTTTCTTCATGCTGTTTTACGTCACTCATGAAGTTTAAAAGTTCTTACACTTAAGATGAGTGGGACGATTTTCCCACAGCAGCATACATTTGTTATGCATGCAGCAATCTCATACTATTTCACACAAACTATAAATTTGTTTGTATGAATACAGCTGAAACATGTATGTATAGTTAATGTATGGTCTGTGCAGAAATTTTATTGAGACACACATATCTCTAGTTTCAGAGACAAAGCCTTCATCGTGGATAAATGCAAGTTATGTCAGCAAAATAAGAGAAAAATCACGAGCCTATTTTAATAGTTTTCAAGGGTGCACTTGGAACAATTTTCAGTTAGTCTAAAAAGCATTTATAGTTTCTATTGAGAAAATATCGGCTTTCGTTACTTTTAGGGGATGGTCGCTCTAAAGAGGAAAACAACTAACTGAATGCATGAACAAAATGACGAGTTTATGCCACAACGTGACGAATTTACACGCCAAATGTAGAGTGTATAACGAGAAAAAACATTAACTTTTTTTGGTTATTTTCTATATGAACCTCTCTTGAATCTAAGGTAATTGGCCAAAATCCAAAAAATTACTAAGAAATGTCTTGTCTGCGATATTCATTGTTCGTGGCTAAAAGAATGCATCCAGAAATGGCAAGGATTTGCATTTTTTTTCGTTCTTTATTGTTAAACATAAGACATTATTTTTTTTTTGTGAAAGGTATGAACCCAGGAGTCATTTCAAAAGTAGGTGAAGTCACTGTCAACAACAACAGTCCTATTCAGGACTACGTTCACCCGGATGATCAAACTCAACCTACATGTTGCATTACTTGCATTAAACTCGTCATTTTGCTCGCTCACTTACTTCTTGTCCTCTTTAGAGCGACGGTCCCTTAAAAGTAACGAAAGCCAAAATATTGAGAAAATACCGTCCACTGTGCTTTTCCTGCCGCTCCTAGTCACTGTTGCTCTGAGTAAATTCGCACACCGCAAAGCGCTTCTGGACGCCATCTTGAATCTTTTGACTTTTCATGGTTGACACCGCTGGTCAATTCTGTATCCCAGTCCTTTGCTCGGTTCAAACTAGTTCGCGGGGCCTTGCGTGGAGCCTCGGTGGGGATGGCGCAAATAGCGCACAACAAATAGCGAAGACCTTCCCTCCTCTTTCCCTTTCCTTCAGTTTCTCCTTATTTTTTTCCGCTCTCTGGCCTGCGAGCAGGGCTCACTTATGCAAGTTCCGGGAAAATTTTGGCGGCGGAGCCTCCCACGCGGAAAAAATTCTGATCAGGCTACCCGCTCTCTGACTTCGCGCCGCATTACAACCTCGTCCCCAGGGCGCTTTTCCCTGGCTCCAAGGCCAAGGAAAAGCGCCCTGGCGACGAGGTTCGCAGCGCTACACTCCACTCAAACGGGAGCCGCTCGCGCGGCAGCTTCCCTCGCAAACGTTCATTCGCCATTTCCACATCTCGATCTTCCTTAAACCTTGTTCGACCCCCAAAGTTCATCAGCATTGACGTCAATTTCTCTTGAGACGGTAGCTACTAAAGGAGTTAAAAAGATAACAATAATAATAAAAATAATAGGTTATGCAAAATTTTGGGGGGCAAACAAGTTGTATTATGGGAGATGTGCAAGTTGCGAATAGGGCCTCGTAAGCTTTTGTAAGTTATGCAAACATTTTTTCGAGCATGTTAGTAAGGCAGAAGCAACAAGCATTATTCGAGCATTTTAGAGACGTTTTTCCAATGTTTTTTTTTTCAGATATATAAAACTTGTGGAATTATCCAAGGGGAATTATCCGGGGTGGAGAAACAAAGCATTAATTTACAAAAGCCTAGCATCCTGCTTCCTCACAGGCTAATCGTACCGTAAATCAGGCGTTCCTTCTATACGAACAGTTACAAAACGCAAAGAACGTCTGCGTGGGAGGCTAATCTACTGGCGGCTGGATTCAGAACTCGCAAGATCACCTGCAGCGTAGCCTTTGGGACCAGGCTCCTCAGTGGCTAAAAAGGACGAATAACGGGACGAGCATTAAGGCGCATCTTACGATAAATGAGATCGCTATCAATACAAAGCCTGTGATCTGCTATTCAAAAACCCTAGGGGTGACGCTCTTCGGTCTTTCTGTGCTTCCGTGAACGCCCACCAGTTGATAGACAGACCTACTAGGGTTAGTTAGGGAGAGGATTGCTATGCGTCAGTTCAATGACTACCTGACATTGCATAACCGATTGACGAGACATCAAAGCGGAAACCGATCTCTGCACTCCACGGAAACGTTGAGCTTATTAGTAACGCACGACATCTTTAGAGCGATGGATAGCAGGCAAATAACGGCAATGGTTCTAATAGACTTGAGTAAAGCTTTTGACAGTCTCTTTCATTCTACCCTACCCTGCAAACTCCAACTGCTTGGCACCTCAGAGAAGGCACTCATCTGGTTCAAGAGCTACCTGTCAGACAGACAGCAGTGTACTCGAATTGGAACATCATTGTCGGATCCCCTAACGATAACTCAAGGGGTACCTCAGGGGTCTATCTTAGGCCCGATGCTGTTTACACTCGACATGAATGACCTTCCTACGGTAACTAAGTATAGTAACATCGAATCCTATGTAGACGACACTAAGATTCACCTTTCGTGTGCGTCTAAAGATATCCACTCTTGCATGCAAGAAGTCTCCGAGGATCTTGATAGTATTGCTGGTTGGTGTTGTGCAAATCACCTGCTTATAAACCCGGATAAAACTAAACTTGTGCTCTTTGGAACACGGTAACTTGTATCAAAGCTACCTGATGTCACTGTATCCTTCCTTGGACAACAACTATGCCTTGTCTCGTCCGCCAAAGATCTGGGTGTTACCCTGGACTCTGGCTTAACATTCAATAAAGAGAGAATACTTCATGGAAAGTGCGGGCGTACGGTATTTACGCACGAGTTGTTGACGTATCAGAAATCGAACGAGTGAGCGCAGCATGGATAATAGAAAGACTGGATAGGAAACTGGCTGACGTGATCGGTTCCAACATAGTGGAAAACTGTGACGTCACATTATCGAGAGCCATTCAACCTCTTACATCCGATGTTTTGCGCGTCTTTAATTAATCGTCGCATATTGCCCAGATTGCCCATGTTTTGAAATAAAGGATGAAGAGTACTTGTTCTTGGCGAAGACAGTTAGAGGGTACAAAAGCGGCAGAGGCAAAAGACTGAGTAAATGATAATGGAACTTGTGAGAGCGAACAATGACTCCAGCGCCCGATAATTTTATGCACCAAACGAGAAGCCTAACTACATAAAAATTATGCGAAAACTTACATGTATACAACAGCTACAAAACACCTGTAAAAAAGGCACAGCGTAATTTTCTACAAACCACAAGAAAACCGGGAAGAATTTTAAATATTTTTGTCACGGTTTTGACGATTTCTTTTCTGCTTTTATACGAGCTCAGCGAGTGTCGAATTTTACAAGTTAACAACTGACTCCTGACAAAATGATTTTGTTAGCGGTAAAACTGTCGAGGCTTGATGTTTCAAGTACCCAGCTCAAACGAGGGTTTAATTTTCCATTCAAATTTATTTACGGACAATCAGTGACAAGAAGCCGTAGTTGAGAACTGTATAAAACGTGATAAAAAGCGGGGATAAAAAGCTCAGCAGAGAAAGGAAATGTGCTTGCGGACCACCGTGGAAACGCTGTTTCTAACTTTCTCAAATCAATTTTCATAGTAAAGCGCAAGTTCTTTTGTTATTTTCAGGTATAAATGTACCATTACCCAAGGTAATTTTCAGTCAGGTCTTTGAAAAAGCGAATTGCAACGCTTTTAAAAATGTTATGTAAAACGGTTAATTGTTAACCACTAGATTACAGCTGGGAAGCAAACTCGTGATTAATAGTAGGCCCTTCACTTCTTTTTATGAGGAACACTTGTCTTCCACTGATAAGGCTTATAAAGCTTAGAAATATGTTTATTCTTTGAAATACTGACCTCTTTTTAGGATGAAACAACCTTTAAGTTTTTGTATTGTAGTCTTAATGATATAGAAATCACCTATGAAAATTAAACATTAACACTGTTCCCAAAGAAAATAGAAGCTGATTATTAAAAAAAATAAATAAAAAAAAGTAACATCCAGGATTTTTGTTTAGCCTGAGGTAAGTGGATAAGGGCTTGAAAAAATTTGACTGTCTGGTCACATTATTATGTTGTTGAAAACAAAATTCATACCCCAAACAAGTACAGGTATATGTTTTATTAATTTGATTTAGAATACATCTTGGTAAGGTTTATCATCTACAGGTACATTGTTGCTTTGGATCTCTAAAAGAACCGAGTTCAATAATAGTGCTAATCAAGTCCATCTCTGGTTTGAAAAACAATGTGATTCAGATTTAGACCGCTTCAGAGAAAAACACTAACCAAATCTAAAACACATTACTCTGCAGCTAATACATGCAGTGACCCTCACACACAATTAATTTGTCCCAGTCATAAAGGAGTAGCTAACACTCTTCAGATGTGATGAATAAAGCTTAAAGCACCTTCTGATCAGAAATAAATTATATGCCACCTTCTGGCTCTCATGCATGACAAAAGTAACTTTAGTTGCTGTTTTATACAGAAAGATTGATTGATTTGTGCCCTCTCAGAAGATTACTTGACCCTGCTTGACCACAATTTACTGTCTTCATTGACTAAATGTGTTCAGCAAATCCTACAAAAAAACAAAACACAAGGAAAACTAAAACACTGTTTACAAAATAACAACAACACTTAGGAGCCTAAACGGAGGCCAAAAATCAGCAGTCAGTAGGTGTAGTTTATGTTTATGTAGTTTATGTACAAAAAAAATATTCGAGTCTCTTCAGTACCTTCGAATACAAGCTGCGAGGAGCGACGTGAGGCGATTGTATTCAATGGATATGTAATTTAGAAGTTATATTTCAACATGAAAAGATGAGTGAAATTAACATACTGCTTTACGAACAATTAGCAGGGTTAATCTAGGATATTACTTGAGCGGAGCAGTTCTCAACACAAACAAGTCTGCCCATTGGAAAATTGCACACCGTGTGCGTACACTTTTTCGGCACTAGCTCCGAATGTAGTTAATTTCGGTCATTTTCAATCGAAATGTACGGCTGGAAAATAACAGCACTCAGTCTGTAACTATGCCTATGCCACAATTCCATCCTTAAAACATCTGTCAATCGTAGTTATAAATAGAAAGAAGAAGGAACCTTCTAAATAAAGGCGTCCCAAAATAGTCCACAAGTCTAGTAAATATGGCTCTGTAAGGTAAATTTTTGGGACGAAATTTTCTCAAAGACAAGGACAAATAACACAAAACAACAACAAGAAGTGCTTACCTCGAAGGTTTAAGTGTGGCTTTGAAGGGTCGCCATCGCCGCAAGACAACAAACGAAGGGAAAAACATACACCAAAAATTAAAGTAGCACTAAAAACTCCGAAAAAGAACAACATGCAGGCAAACAAACCCTACATTTCGACTGGTGTGCGCCACATTTTCGCCATCATTTCGTCACAAATTTCCACTATGATGGAACCAGTCAACGCCATCTTGAAGCACGAACCAGCCAATCGGCGATTAGAAATCAGCCCACGTGACATAAGTTTCCTATCCAGTCTTTCTATTATCCATGAGCGCAGCGAACGAGTGAGATTTCTGATACAAAAACAACGAGTGCGTAAATACAGTACAAAGCACTTTCCATGTGGTATTGTGTTTATTATATATATACTGAGATTTTAATTCTTGTTTATCGTCTTTAATGACAGACCAAGACAAAACTCTGTTACATGAATTCAAGTTAAAAACTTATGCGAGGATTATAACATAAACTTGAATTTCTGCCAGAAATTTAACATTACAGCAAGCAAATAATGTTAAAATATTATTTCTAAACTTTAATCCGAGTCGGACTCCTCAATTCGGATTCTCTTCCACCTTTTTTCGGTGGTTTCGGTGACGGAACTCCTGGTTTGAATGGTCGGCGAGGTAGTAAGCGCATTAATGGAAATCGTAAATTGTCCTCCACTTATTACTGCTCCATCAAAAAAACTCATCGGGGTTTTACTAGTGCAAGTGCTCGCAGCAGCAGTTTCGTTAGTTGCAGTAGTTACTTGTGTTTGCGACGATGCTCGGCTTAAGATGCCTGATATGTTTTTTTGTTGATTTAGGTTCAAGCTACTATAGTTTGTTATGCTTTCCACGTTCTTGTGCCCACTGCATTATATGCGTTGGCGGAATTTCACTGTCATTAAGTTTTTGAATCATGTGTTTACGAGCACTATGGTTCGTGAGTCGCTCGTTGTTGATGTTTGCTTTTGAAGCCATTGTTTTCATCAAAGTGTTTAATTTATTTACACCCATAGGTGCCGACTTGAACCAGTGTTTTTTGGAGCTGTCTGTTTTCGTGTGGTTTATTCCCAAGTAGAATGGCGAATCGTCAGCCATCATGTTTTCCGGTCGCTTTTCACGGTAAATTTTGTACGCCACGACAGGATCTCGTTTATCACCAGTTGAAAACATTTTCGGGGAAACTTTTCGAACGTTTGAGGCGTCTACTCCAGACCTTGTTTTTGTCTGTCTTTCATTGTAAACTAGATAGTCGTTACCTTGTGCGTCCTTACAAAGCTTTACATCTCCCCAGCACAAATCCCTATGCTCTTGACAACCACGCATTCCAAAATGAATGGTGTTGTTCAGCCAAACAGTATTCAACAATGATTCAGCAGAAGAAACTCCAAGCAAATTGTTTTCGTGAAGTATATCGACTTCTTCGCCCGTGATAGCCACAGCGGCTTTGTCCTTGTTGCCTCGGCCTGCTTTCTTCAGCTCTTTTTGTTTAGCGTGTAAACACTTTCTAAACAATTCAAATTCTTTATCGTTAATGATACTCTCAGTATAATTATTTTTCTTCAAATGTCTTTCAATACTTGAAACAAGGCATCTTAAACTTGAAGGCTCATAATCCTCTCCGTCTTTACGTCTCACAGAACGAATAAACTCCGCAAGGTGCTTGTTTAATTCTGCGGGCTCTATGTCTTGCACTTCTCGCTCGTCGTTCTTTTCGTTTCTCAAAAACGTTTCCAGCAATTTCACATCTCGTTTCGTTTTCTCTTTCGTATTCCTGTTTTCGAGACTTTCCACGTAATCCTCAACTGAAGTATCGTGATCAACAAACCTTTTCTCGTTCATGTTTTTAAGCTTCAACACTTGCGAAAGATTTCTTTAGACTAACAAAGTGAAATGCTGCCAGCTGAAGGAAAATCACCTTGTTACGGCTCACACGTCAAAAAACATGATACGCAGCACCTGATTGGACGTATCGTTTTCCTCACACGTGGAAAAAGCAATACGCGCCATTTGATTGGCTGTCGGGTTCTTAGACCAGCTTGTGAACCAAATTTATTTCGCGCCTTTTCAATGGTAAATCTCAGTACATATATATTAAACGAACAATCCTAGAAGCAATCTAGTTTAAATCTAGGTTAAATAAAAGGGGGTCCATTTTCTTTGCCTTAAACTCAACCGCAACTGTTTTGTTATTTTTACTTTAACAAGTCTAACACAAACGAGCCTACTGAAAACATTCATAACGGACAATACATATTGATCTGAAATTTAATCTTTCCACGCTTTCCAAGATCCAACAGACGTACTTGGCGTCTGACAAATATGAGAACAAACATGAGGCCTAGTCGAGTGTTTCTCACTACTTCTTGAGTGGTTAGTTTTCCTTCTTTTCCTAATATCAGACTGGAATTTAAGAATTTGTCGTTTGCTGCTTTTCTTTTAATCCACCATATTCTCATTACTCAAATAATAACCTTGTCTACGAACAAATTTTGTGCCTAAGCCCTTGTTCGGGGGCACCCAACGAGAATATAGTTCACAACCACTTAAACATAGCATTGTTAAACGTATTTTAGTATTTAAATGGTAGATATAGGCATATTTTTATTCCCTAGAAATTTTCCATCTGTTCGGATTTCCTAGCTGAAAGTCTAGTGATCCGAAAATTATAGGGATCAAAACTTACCTTTCCGACAATTTCAGCCAGAAAAAAGGCTCCCGAAAATTCTAGGTGATCTTTTAAGTGTAAAAATCCGTTAAAAATGGGCAATTATACCATTTTTTAGATGTTCGAAAATCCTAGGAGAGGCAGGCAAGCACGAAATTTTACATCAAATGTTCCGAAAATTGCAGATCGCAAATCGTCTTCCGAACAGATATTTTCCGAAGCTTGTCGTTGGGTGCCCCTGCTTGTTTTCAGTTTCCCTTGGAAAACCTGTAATGCCCCGGAGAAACTGGAAACAATGGCTTTGAAAAATATTGGAGATTAAACAAGGTTACAATGGACAATACAGATTTCAATATGGCGAGGAAATATGACATTATCTCATCAGACTGTTACATGTTTCAGTCACTGTGACTACTTTATCAAGTGTAGGGCGGTAGTTATTCTACTACTGTTAGGACTTTTATTACATTCGAGGCCAAAACTTATTACACTTAGGACCTTTATTACATTTAGGGTCATTTATTACATTTGAGGCCTCAACAAAGCTTGCGCGTGAACCAGCGTCATTTCGGCGGGAAAATGTGATAATCGTCGTCACTTTACTACGAGTGTAAGGGAGACTGTCGTAGTTGCGGAAACGAGTTATAAAATGTCAGAAGTTTTATCATTTTGCGATCGGGAGTGGACTTAACCTCCCCATCGGCTCCTGACCTCCCTCAATAAATTAAGACAATATTGCAAACTTTTCTAGTGAAAAATAGTTATACGAAACTTTCTGGGAAGGCAAGAATCTACTGAGAGACGACTGGGGGAACGAGTCAGACGCTATAGTAATCAAGATGAAAAATTCCCGAAATATTCCCCTCCTTGTATAAGCCCCCCGAGCTCGCAACGCAAAGAACCCTCCGTTACATCGTCCCTCCAAATATAAGTCCATTGGGGGGCTTGTACTTGGAATTTGCCCTCAAATGCAAAGTAAAACAAAGCAAAAACGGTAAATTTCCTTTCAGCTATAAGCTAGCCCAATCGATTTTGAAACGCAAAATAAGCCCCTCAAAAAGGGCCTTTGAAAAGTATTAGCCCCGGTGCCAGTACCTTACGCATACACACAACCATATCACCCCGGCCGGTAGTGGCAAACATAGCTAAACATGGGCAACAGCGGGGTCGATTATCGCAAGTGAGACCTCTCGCTAGGGGCCATGCCATGCTGATGAGTCCCGGTATTTTGTCATACATGCGTTAGAACAAAGAAAAAATAACATAACGGCAAACTTACATTGCATAGTATTGGACAAAAATGATTTGATAGTTTTTCTACACTGCAGGAAGGAGATGCACAAAAAAGGTCAGTACAGGGAAGGTTAGCACATTTCAAGAGGTCGTCTTCATTCAAGCATTTAAATAAACTCCATTATCTGTATATCTATAGGCATGCTGAATGATACCCATCCCCTAAATCAACATTTTGCCCTAAGTAAGAAGTAAGTGTTAATGTTGGTTTAGGGAAGGGGTAGGTGGTCAGTTACCCAGATACGTATAATGATCCAGTATTTCAACATGTTCAAGCGAAGAGTTGATCCTGCTACACCTTCAGCTTGTCTTCTTTTTAGTGTGGTTTTGTTTCGACTCCTGACTGTGATTTAGGTAAAACAAAAACCTGACCAGCGGGGATCCAATTTCTGGTCCTGAACCTAGCTCATATATCTAATACCTGCTCGATAAAGTGCCTTTTGCTACTTTTTCACTGAAAGTGTCTTTACCCCGCTTAGCACTATTAGAACCTGCTAGATGTGGATTTTTGTTCTAAGTTTTGATAGTCGCAATATGCATTAGTATTTTTGGACTTTTAGAAATGATTTAATGATAGCACATTAAGTGGGTCTAAACTGTTTGGGCGTGCTATGTATATGCTTCAAGAGTCCGGTACAAGGGTCATAAGTGTTTTTCGCTGTGAAAAGAGGTTACTGAATTGGCACGTGGAATGGAGAAACCCAAGACGCCATGACTCTACTTACGAGGTAAAAAATAATAATAAGCAAAAAAAAAAAAATTGCAATCAGAGAAAGAAGTGTAACGTTCAGAGCGACTTGCACAATAAAGGCCCTCTTTGCACTGTAACGCGCGCTCGCAGAAATATTGAGTACCCGTGCATCAAACAAGACATAACAAATTATCAACAGCTTCGGCTCCTGATAGCTTACATTATTCTTACATTTTTCGTTTCTTATGTTATACAACCAAAAGATCCCAGGAAAGAGTGTTATAATTTTCCTGTTACAATCTTATACTCCACGAAATTACACCTCCGCGAAAGCTGATGCTACCTGCAAGAGAGTATTGGGTCGACCCTTTCGTTTTCCCATTTCAGACCACGTGATGGTACCCCAGAGAATTGATTGTTTCCTATGCACATGCATCCACGTGCATATGTTTGCGTAATTTATGAAACGGCCAAAGGCAAATTCGCTGGAGAACATAGGACAATTGCATGATGACGTCATTATACTACATACATCCTTCAGGTCCTTCAGCTGTTGTTTTCTTGCGCAAATTAGGGCTATTGTGTTTTAAAATGTAGAGGGATTCAATAAGAAAGCAAAAAAGAAATGAATTCTGATACTTGTAGTCAAATTTTGTTTACTCACCGTCAAATATGACCTACTGGGAAAACAAAACATAAAAAGATGTATCCCCCGGGATCACATGAGTTCACACGACACAATAAACAAGTTCAAAAATAGACAAGTGCGTAATTGTAACACGACTCCTGACAAACAAGAAAGCGGGTTTCCGCTTGCACTTTAGATCGATAGGTCCTGCTCGCCTTGTCTAGTATAAATCTTTGTTGGAAGGGTTGTGATTTTGTCCACAGAATTCACCAAAATCTGTGAACCATTTCCATTTTGTTGAATCGAAGATGAAGTGGGCTTTTCTCCTTGTTCTTATTGTAGTCAATTCTTCCAACGGTGGATTCATCCCCTTCAAACGAATCCGGCCCAGCGAAAGCCCTGATGTCGGAAGGAATGTGGTAAGTGATCTCTCACTCTGTTGGTTTTTACATTGCATTGGACTAGAATTTCGTTTGCGGAATTAATGGTGTATGTGGGACAATTCCTTCGAGATTAAACTGTACATGTTGCTAACACTGGGTGCATTGAAATGTACTCTTTACGTCGATGGGCCAACAATTTTTTCACGCCGTTCCTGGAAGACACACGCAATCTGTCCTTATAAATCTTTCAGTTTTTCTCTAATAAAATGAACGCAGCGGCGTTCCATTGTATCTTTCAGCAAAACACTGATAGACACTGAATGAGTATATAATGAAATATCTGCTAGAATTCAACATACTATTGTGTAAGAATCACATGATTTGTTGACACCGATGCATACTGTGATGAGTGTGGCGCAACATATCATACTCGAAGCATTACGCAGCATTAAACATTACGTATTGCAATTCTTTTAATACTCCATAGGCCGCACAGAATCAGTTAAAAGAAGTCGATTTACAAGACAAGGATTTTTGTTTTTATTCCCATCTTTTCGGTTACGTAACTATATTAAAGAGGGAGTTGAAGTGGTTATCCTGCTGAATGGCTGCGTGACTAAGAGAACTGAGGTGCGCGTACCTGAACCTCCCTCATCCCCGCCCACTTCAATCCTTTTGATCTTGAATACGTCCGTACTCCGTACCCGCCACATGGATCCGAAAACAAAAGACTTGTCAGGCAGTAGCTCAAGGCGAAAATGTTGATAAGACATTTTATTCTGATTTTTATATCACTGAGCTTCTTTGGTGAAGCGCTTCTCTCTTGCTCTTCGAATTGCCATCGCTAAAAACTGTATTATAATGCGTGCATGAACTAAACAGCTTGTGAATTAATTCAAGCTCTTGTTTTTACAATTGCTTCATACCCGCGGTAAAGTAAACAAATAGAAGGTAAGGTCGGATTTGCAACTTGAACTGAGGTCGGAAATAACATCCAAGATTAGTCACATCCGTGGCGTCCACTCATAGAATTGGCTACTTGCCCTTGTGTCTGTTTTTTTTTTTTTTTTTTTTTTTTTTCAGAGAATTATTCCTTGATCATCTCCATTCTCTTCACCCTGCGAACAGAGCCTCCTTCTGTCTTCCTTTTGATCGCGGACCAGAAAAGGTCTTTTGTTGAAATGATGCCATTTCAGCCCCATTTATTCAAAACCCAGATCATATTTTCCTTTTCTTAGCTGCGTGAAAAATATCTCTGACTTTGATGATGTCTTCGGTAACGACAAAACCCTACTGAGTCACCGTGTCACTTACATTCCTGTTTACAGTTGGACTACGCGCAATCGAACGACTGGTCAAGAAAATTTTCATTCTTTTTCAATAGAGTTGTAAGGAAATAACACATCTTTTTTTAAGACTGCAAATAGTCTTTTATTTCTCTTTTCAGAGTCACTGGACTAAAACTTGGCGTACTAAACTCTCGAAAATTTTGAATGCAAACAAAGGTTAATAGCAAGGTCCCTTTTACATTCCAATTTAGGACTACGTTTTGAGAGTCCATCATTCACGCTGGTACAAAGCAAACAGAATCAGGTCTCTACCTTTCCCTAGGCCTTATTAGATTTCAACCTTGACAGAAATGGTATTTTAAAAAAATGGTAAGCACCTCAAAAACTAGCCTGAGAAGACAGCCGACATTTCGAGATGCCACCACTGGTTTCCCCGCAAAATGACGTCGGAGAAACGAGTACAGAAATTCCATACCGATGACGTGTGGGTACTGATAGTGTTTCTGGTTGGTTGAAAATACGTTTCATCGAGTCACAAGCACACCTTGGCTCCAGAGGTCCGTTCTAAACCGTGATTTCAATACGGTTGATGAAGCTCCCGAGACGAACCTCTTGTCACACAAGCAAGCAACCTCATTTCCATGCGAGAAATCAGTTCAGATTTCTGAACTGGGTCGCCGATTGGTTGCTCCCACGTCCGAAGGGAGTGTACGATATAACAGTGAACTTGATTACCGTTATCGAAGAACTTCACCGCATGAGATTGAAAAGCGGTTTCGATGTTTATAACAAACGGAGAACGATCAGGAATTAGATCAGAAAAAAATTGCCTCTTGAACCCTGTCCAGTTATTATTCCAGCCAGCGAGATTTCAAATAACGACGCATGGAGCGATTTTGCAGAGAAAAACAAGAGGCCTTTCGCTCGCGGTCTACCGGCAGATCTGGGTAGCTGGGTAGCCACATGAGATCAGTATGGAATTTCTGCTCTCGTTCCTCAGACATTTCGAATTCTTTGCCTCATCTGAAGCACATACAACACCTTTTTCTCGACGCGTCAGATTCCGGCTCTCATATTAAGTTTGTCTTTTTCACTAGACTCAGATAATCGCTAGCAGAGGATATGATTGTGAAGAACACCAGGTAACAACATCAGATGGCTTCATTCTTGCCATGCAGCGGATTCCACGCGGACGAGGAGAAAAGAAGAGTTCTGTAGCAAAAGAAGTCGTCTTTCTGCAGCATGGAATTCTTGCAGACTCTACAAACTGGGTGATGGACTCGCCAACAGAGAGCCTTGCATACATACTTGCAGATAAAGGTTTTGATGTATGGCTTGGAAACATCCGGGGAAATGACTATTCAAGACGTCACGTGAAATATAAACCAAGCCAATCAGTTTTCTGGAATTGGAGGTGAGCTTGTTTTGTTCAGGTAGGTTAGAGCGCCTATCCAGAGACAAAATAGGCTCGAACCACACGTCGAGAACTCAGACACAGTTAGAAAAGATCCCCACGGATAACTAAGAGAAAGCGCGATTAGTTTCAAAGTGCTTATGAGTACATGTATCATTCATTAATAAAATCCTGGTCTATTACCAATGCTGCGTTCTGATTGGTTGAACTACTTCTAGGCTATAGCCCATTAGTAGCTAAAAGTGGCGGCTTGGAAAACCAAAATCGCGTTTTTGCTAGCTAAGGTTGTTTTGTCTCGATATTTTAGACCAACTAGTTGGATTTTACTAAAACAATTATTCCTCGAGCCCTCATCTCCTCTGAGTCAATAGCCCATTCGGGCTCGAGGAATAATTGTTAATTATTTGAGTGACGCAATAGGTTTGAACCCCGCATCGAGAACTCAGACACAGTTATAAAAGACCCTCAAATGCATAGATAAAGAGAGAGCGAGATTCATTTCAAAGTACGTATGACCTGCTATAGCAACGGTAGAAATTGTGGTGGTACTTGTATTCACGTCCAGCTGAAAAGTGACCCTTTAAGGTAATTCCCTAGTTTTGCACTGTGTATGACCTAGTGTGTATACCATTGCAACTTCAGAGGGAGCGGTGATTTCACCGGTCACCTAAAAAGAGGTGATTATGGCCCCTTTCGTAGCCCAAATGCTTTTAATAGCGATTTTGATAATTCTACCCAGCTAAAAAGGTGTTTTTCTTGAAACTCTTCCCTGTTCCTTCAAACAAAATGAGCATTTGAAGTTTGCAATGAAACGAGTACGGTGACCCCTCCTTCTTTATTTGTGTTTTGTATTCGTTATGGCTACACCAAAAATATATGTTAAGGAGAAAAAAATCTGGATAGTAGGAGCTGTATTTTTTTAGACATTCATATCTAAAAAATGTAACTTCTACTATCCAGATTAAGAGCCAGTATTAAGAGCCATAGAGAAGAAGGAGATAATGTCAAAACAGTACATGTCTCTACATTTTTTCAAGATCAGGTAATTTGAGGTTACTTAACTGAAATAAATAAAGCCCAGACAAACAAGCCTGCTTAAGGTCTCAGTTTTTTTCCATAAAATAACAAATTTTGTCGATTGTTTCAGTTTCGAACATTTCGCTCTTAACTAGGAAAAAGCACTCAGAATTACGGGCATACAGGGCGAAAACAAGCACGGTGAACCCATCTTTTTATGGCAGTTTTTGAATGTACTATATATGGCTGGCATTTGTGCCAAGTTAAAAAAAAAATCAGGTTGTTCATCATTTTCAAGGGAATTACCTTAAACAATGTCAAAAACTGAATAGTTTGAACTTTTTAATATCGGAAGTTTTTACTTGACAAGTGGTGTATTTTTTGACTTAACGTTTGCCAAGCGGTACCGTTCCTTCCCTTAGTTCACGTTTGGTAATATCAAATTTCTACAATAGCTATGCTATGCAAATGTCTAAAATGGCTGTGCTAACTTTTTACCTTTTTAGATTGCTTCTCTACTTGCACTTATAATGTTTACATATTTTTATGCCCTTTTTTTTCTTCAGCTGGCAAGAAATGGCTGATTACGATCTGCCAGCCATGATAAACTACGTCCTGAACGTCACTGGGCAAGAGCAGTTGTTTTACGTGGGCCATTCACAAGGAACACTGATCGCGTTTACTGGATTTTCTGACAACCCCGCTCTAGGAAACAAAATCAAGGCCTTCATCGCTTTAGCTCCTGTGTACACTTTAAATAATGCTACAGAGATCGCAAAGGAAGGAGCTGACATTTTGTATCCACTTGTCAAGGTAAACTATGGCTAAATAGCACTAACTCGTTTTCAGCGCAGCCGAGTGTTCAACACTGAAGGCTCTCAATCAGGAATTTCTTTGTTAGGAACAGCAGCTGAATTTGTTTATCGGTAGTCCCGAGTACAGCTTCCGGTTCGACGGACATCAGGTAGAAATTGTGTTCTATTTTTAAGCAATTTCCAGTCTAATCTAACTTCTACAACGTTTCTGAACACAGATGCTCTCAGATTTGTTTCATTAATAAATAAGTAGTGTCTTTATAGCTTGTAAGTCTATTGTCGGCTCAGTCTTTCTGAATTGTTTGTATCCGTCCTGCAAAAAGTCTCTCTTGGTAATGCAAAGCATTAGCCGTACCAGCACAGCCATCATCCCTGTAATGTTCTCTTTATTAAATGTGGAACCACTACACAACGACAACGGCCACTTAATTGCCCCCTTACTCCCAAAATAACCTCTCCACAGTGGGCTTCAAGAAGCGAGCGATAAAAAAAACTGATGAACTACTCACTGTATGTTACTCGCTTTTGTCCCCAGGGTGGCTTTTGTGAAGAGATGTTGTTGGGGACATACGATAAAACGTTCTTTTTTCACTTCTGTTTTTCAGAAACTTTTCCCTGGTCTTACCTTTGACTTACTCCCTGGTGATTTTTTGAGATCACTTATCAAGCTAGGCTTCTGTGCAAACCCCATCTCAGAGAAAGTTTGTTACGACTTCATGGAGTTAGTGATCGGCATGGACAGCAAGAATATTGATGAGGTTTGTTGGGAGTCGATAGTTCCACCTCCCTACAAAAAGAAGCTATAAAATATGGATGTATTGGGGATAAGTCATTCCCTTAGTGCGAATTTCATGTGGCTTCCTTTTTGTGTGTATAAAAATGCATGATGATCTGAGTGAGCATGAATAATAGCTGAACTGCAACGGATACACTGTTAAAAAGATTGTCCCGCTTCGTCAAAGCTCATTAAAAAAAAAAAAGAAATGGATATTCCAGTGGTTCATTGTCCCCTGTTTCCTTCTCGGATACGATCTTTCAGGTTCATTTTCTCCAGTCAACTCTTATTTCGATTTACTTGTTATTATTTTTTTAAAACATGGTCTTATTATCGGCTCCTGTAATAGCTGATTATTATGTGAACTTAATTCTAGTCAAGAGTGCCTGTCTACATAGCGCATTTTGCGGAAGGAACATCTTTTAAAGACGTGGTGCATTTTGGTCAGGTATGTTTATTATTAACCAAAGAGGACAACTGACTGTTGAACTCGTAATGTGAGTTTGCTGTGTTAATTGCTGGAACCCCTTATGTATAATATGAAAAGTCTGGATTCACGATGCTATAAATGGAAAATACTGCTGAGCATCTTTTAGTTTGTTTAATTATGTCCATAAGTAGAAATCAATTGTCAGTTTTGCAAAGTTACCATGTATCAAAATATAAAAGTTGCGTACAGCACGCTTTCGTTAGCTCACGGGCAAATGTCTTGATAACCTGTGTTCAACCGCCCCCTCCACCCATAGGCTACTGTCGTGATTACTTGTTTTTGTTTTTGTTGTTGTTGTTTTGACATTTTCATTTTTATAAACAGGTAATAGTCAACAAGAAGTGTCAAAAATTTGATTACGGGACAGCAGGAAATAAACAGCATTACCATCAGGTCAGTAAATATGTGTTGTTCGAATCACTCTCCAGTGTCACTGGTTTCTTTTTTCAACCAGTACAAGCTAACGATAAACTCAAACAGACCAGACCGTCCATTCCATCTAAAGCGCGTTGACGGAAAAATTTTACGTTAGGATAGGTAGTTACGCATGGTTCGACTGTAGTTTTGACTGCTCCAGGAAATTATAAACACTTCATTAAAGACGTACATACATAATTTATTCTAGATGCATTAAAATATATACAAGGTTTAAAGGTTGCACTATATGACGTCATAACTGATGACGTCACATTTTTCTTAAATTAAAGTTTGGAATCGTTTTAATTTAAAATAGAGCGCGTCAAGAGAAGCTGAAAACCGAAAACAGTATGTACATACGAAAAATACTGGATGGGATATGACATTTTGAAGATGAAAAAATTTAGAGTCAATAAATGGGACCCCCCTTCAGCAATAAACCTAAATTAGATTGTCTTTTTGTCTTAATAGTAATGCAATTGACATTGCACATTGGTTGTCTTGAATGCAGAAAGTAGAAGGAAAAGAAAATTACAAAAAAAGATTTTCTGTTATTCCTGGAACCATAAAAGAAGATTTGTGAAATAATAAAAGGTCACGTGACCAATAATTCCTTTGCCTTATTATCGTCCTGGAGGTGTCCTGGGGCCTGTTTCTCGAAAGTCCCGATAATAAACGGGCCCCTAAAGCTGTTGTTGTTTACATGAAAGATAGAAATTTCAATAGTTTTTTATCTAGCATGATAAAACTATCAGTTAATGAAACGAAATGGACTATTTTGCTAGCCAGGACCCGCGCTCTTATTCTTTTTATTTCGATTTGAATATTTGATTTCGGGCCCGAAAAGTTATCGGGACTTTGGAGAAACGGGCCCCTGAAAGCAAAAATGGAAAAGTTTAAAACAATACGATTTTTACGGAAAGTAAGAAGCCCGTTTTTACCAAAATACCAGCTCAGCTGGAAAAAACTGGAAAAAAATACCAAGGACATTACTTTTGCTTTACATTGTCTTGTAACATTCGACTAAGGATAAATAAGTTCTGTACACATTCAAGTAAATGGATGTCCTTCTCCAGATAAGGGCTCCAGACTGGTGCTGCGTATTCTAAGATTGGCAGTACGGAAGATTTGTACAGCATAGAAATATATTTCATCCGAAACCGTAGCTGCCTCAATTAAGACAATCTTGATGAAATTCTTTGTTCTTGTTGTCGATTTTAAGTCAAAAAGTCTTAAAAGCCAGTACATAGCGCCTAACACAAATAAGCCTACATAAACCGTGATCAACTCTCTTCTCTCCCACAGGCCACCGCTCCATTGTGTCACGTGAAAGACATGCCCACTCCCACCCTTTTGTTCGTGGGAGCCCGCGATGGTCTTGGTGACCCGGGTGACAATGAGGCTTTGAAGCCGCAAATCAAGAATCTGGTGCATTACGAAGTCATTCCAGAGTGGAACCATTTGGATTTCTTGTATGGAGTAGACGCACACAAACTGCTTTACCCCAGGCTTGTAAACATCATGAAGCAGTTTAGTAAGCGATGATTAATACCACCCGATGAGACGCTGTTCTTCTATACTTTCCTCTTGTATTCTTATGCAGTTGAAAACTAAACCAGTTATTAACCCTTTCAAAATCATTGCACGCTCTGCTTATACTATTGTTTGACAAATTCTAAACATTCTTTTGCACATTTGTCCTGAGAAACACTTCGAAAAAATATAAATGTAGCATAATTCGCTTTTTAGAATCCGCTGGGTAAGCTGGTATTGCGTTGGTTTGTCCCTGAGAGTCCCAACTGGTATCTGCGTTCTCTGCGATTGACTTCTATTCGCCCGGAACTACACTCATTTTTAATAAGAATGCTGTTTTTCCGGCCCGGGCTGAATAATTTTAGGTTGAAAATATGCTTACATTATTCTTAAATAATGTTTAAGAAAGAATGAATACATTATTTCCTTTGTGTTGTATACTGTACATATATATTACATGTACCGTTCATCGAACCGTCCTTAGCATTGAACATTAAGCAATGGTTAGTGCAGGTTGTTTCGTTTTGCTTGCTTGCTTTGCCGTTAAGAGAAAGGAATGATTTTTTACGGTTAAAAACATATATAATTGTATTGTGCTTACATAGATTTTTAACACACAAAATTATATCCTATTCAAAATCCCAGCCTCGAGTTTATTCTTAAAATGGTCTTAAAATTTCGCAAATTTCAGCCTAGATATTTTTATAAACTGTATTCTTATAAAAAAAAGGAGTGTAGTCAAGTTATATATAGATACTAGATATGTCTGCTCTAGTGGAGTCAGGCCTGTAACCAAGAACGCTTAGTTTATTCATCTGACATAAAAGTACGGTATCTATAGTGTTTGTGTATAGCTAGTTTAAGGTATAGACCGGAACAGTACTGTTTCGCAGTCTTATTAAGACTAGAGTGATCATGAACACCTAATTAAAATAACCTATTTAAGGAGGATTGTATAATGCGGCGTATAGCTTAACCTTGAAGGATAACTTGTCATTGGCATTAAACAGTAATTAAAGCTTTGCTTTCTCATTTTTTTTTGTGTGTGATTTCCTGCTGTTGGTGGAGCGAGCCGGGTTTGTGCTGCTATAACCAAGGCCGGGCCGGTGTAAGAGTTTTGATTGAAGGGCGCTTAGCAGACAACCGACTGGTTGTTTTCTCTGATAACAACGGAATAATAAATCTAGAAATGGTTTCCAAAGCTATTGTTAAAGATGGTACAGATCATCGACTTCAGTGGCTTAGCTGCCTTTAAGCCATTAAGCCCGGACTTGACAGGAGTTTGAGTAAAATTATGTGTACGGCTATCACGTGTTGTTAAAATAGTTTTCTCAATAGAATATCATCCTTAGCCCTCTTAAACGCATATTAACAACTGCGTTGGTAAAGTGGAGTTTGGACGCCTGTGATACCCAGGAGCTTCCACTATTGGCAGCCAGCTCCTAAGATGGATACCGCCCCCATGGCTGGGAAATCCTGACAACCCAGCCTTGAGCCCCACGCCAGAGGACCTCCGGGCCTAACTTAAAATGCCCGGAGAACAAGGGGCTCATAGCGGGGGGAAAGCTTGAGCCCCAACAAGAATGCCCAAATCCGACGGCACCCAACCGAGTTACACAAATGGGTAGATAAGCGCCATACCTGTTACGCGAGTCGTCCGGCTACTGAGAGAATCGTGTCTACTGGAGTCCGCACATACAGCAAATAAGCTTCGCTTGACCAGCGACCTATAGTTTTAATAAAATGGTCAGAAATTCTTCGGCTGGTAGCAATAGTAGCCGCTCCAATTCTAAAGCTATGACCAGATAAATTTGCACGAACACCTGCGGACTGTAGATGGGGGGTAGAGGGTAGTTTTTAAGAACGCAGAGAGCTTGGATCTAGAACGAGGAGTACCATCCTGGTAAAGAAATAGAGGTCCAGAGCCCGGTCCACGAAAATGAAGGTAATTACCAAGGAAGCCCCAGGACTTAGCGAGGCGGAGCCACGACCAAAAAAGACGAAGCATCCCTTTCGGAAAGGGTCTGTCTTGCACCACTTGATAAACACTCGGACACTTTGAGGGTTCAAAGGGGCGTAAACCTGTATGTCAGCACGAGTCGAATGCAGAGAAGGATCAAAAGGGCTATTGACTGTAAATTCGCCACCTCTGAGGAGGCCAAAGAAGCCAACACAGCAGGCGGGCCATAGCATGACGTTGTTAGGATTTGTGAGATCCAGAGACCTGTATAGAACAGACATGAGATCTGCTGTCAACGGCTGCCGCTGGGTCAAGTTTGAACCCTGGTGGCGTTCAATCCTGTGAAGGAGACGCTGGAGTTGAAGATACGTGGAGAGTTTGTCAGAGAAGCAATAGTCAATGTGAAAGGAACGAACTGCTGATAAATATACTTTGATGGATGGATGATGAAGGCGATCCGCTAAGTTGGTACAGAAAGGCATCGCTGGCCGACGGGGGAGGCCAATTCTGACTGAAAGATACGTCCTGGTTGCAAAATCCAAGAATTGACGCTGGGTCAGAGGTATAAACCTGTCGAGTGGACGAGGCCAAACCATTTGCCAAGAAGAATCGGCATTTTTCAGTCAAACCACAGGAAGCTGGGCCTGCAGTGATGGAGGTACTGGAGTTGCCCTAAGGGCAGCCTGTGGTGCAAGACGACGAAAGCGCTGAAAATCAAAACTAGGTAAAGAGTCAGCAATGGACTTGTGCCTCCCGGATGTATGACAGGAAGTAAAAACAAAGGACTGACGAGTAGCTGTAAGCGACGGGTGACGAAGAAGAACCATCATGAGGACGAGCGCAAGACACTGACCACAGCCCATATAGTCTGAACAAAACTCAACACATTTTGATCATTCGACGCAGAAAAGTCCGACCTAAGGGAATTACTTTACATGCATGTTAGAGATGGCCAAGATTCCAGTTCCTTTTCATACCGTGCTGATTGGAAGACCAGGTGTCCAAAAGAGCAGCAATACGATCAAACTTCTCCCGTGGGAGGCAAGTCCGAAGGGCCAGCGAGTCCAACTCGATGCCTAGGACAGTCAGACACGTGGAAGGACCCTTAAGCTTATCAGGGTGGAGGGGAATACCCCACTCTGAAAACTGACGAAAACAGATATCCAAGTTTTGTTGGCAAAAAGGGGAGTCAGGAGGGCCCAAGGTATGGAAGTCATCCAAGTAATGAAGTAGAAATTTTACTTCATAATTGTGTTTTCGAATCTACTCAAGCAGGTCTGGGAACTCTTGGCTAAATTTAACGAAAACCAAAGGGTATGGCCAAATCGATGGAGTATTCCCCCCGCCATTTCACGCCTAACAGGTAACGGTCATGAGAATGTTCAGGAATGATACGATACGCGCTTTCTAGGTCAAATTTAGCAAAAAGAGTTCTCCAACCATGGGTCATGATGCATCATTGATATCGTCAACCTTCATGCACTGAACTAAAAATGGGTCATTGGGAATCCCGTCATTAACACTGAGACCTTAGGGAGTAGACAAGTCCAAAATAAGCCGCCATTTGCCGGACTGGTATTTCTTCGGAATTATTCCAAAGCGACTGATGTGAAGGTTTGGTAAAGGAGACATTGAGAAGGGAAGAGCAACGCGACCTTTCTTAAGTTCTGTGAGGAGACTAATCTGTCGGACCAGATGCTGCTGCATCCCTACGAAAGGCCATGTCATAGTGGAGCCAGGCTTTCCAGAGAATTGGCATGAGGTCTTGATAATTAGCAGCTTGTATTGGGTGAGGTCTGGCCACTTTGAAGGGTGTGCGCTGCAAAATATCCAATAGAATATGGTAAAAGCCTCGACCCAACTGAGGGACCGTTCATTTTTTATGAGAGAGGGGGGGCTGGTGGGATTTGGGGGGGCACTCGAAAAAAAATTGGCTTGAAAGGGGGGGCCAGCCGAAACAAAGTGAAGGAAAGGGGGGTCGGACGAAAAAATTAGATTAAAAATAGGATAAGAGATGTTTACAAATGGAAGAAAAATTGTGCTCTTTTATTTATAACAAATATGCTAAAACAGTTCCAGGGTAACAAGAAAACTTCTCTTTTATTTATAACAAATATGCTAAAACAGTTCCAGGGTAACAAGAAAACTTCTCAACAGCTTTTATATTTTATAAGGACAGTGAACATACCATAATAACAGTCTTGAATAGCAACAACTTTCTTTTCATTCATAAAAATGTTGTTGTCAAGCTCATATAATTAAAACTGCTACATCTTCAACGTTTATGCAGGCTTCCGGAATTGTCATGGAGGGAGGATAAAGAAGACAATTGGGAAGTTCTTTTGCAAAGGGATTTGCAACGCAGATATGATACACGCGTAGGACGTTGTTTTCAAACCGTTTGCGTTTTCTGCCCTTTGATTTCCTACGGTTTTGTTTTAATTTTCTTTTTTTTGACACATAGTGTCCTGTTAAGCCCTTGAAGACCTGGTCAAAGGTCTCCTTCTTATTTTCGAGGTTTTCTAATTCCCCTGAAACCTTGAGCTGCTTTGCCTCAATCCTAGCGATGTGCTGCACATTGAAGTCATACTCTCAGAACAGGTCAAGCCGAAGTGAGAGGCAGCAATGAATCAGGTCAACTAGACAGCAGTGGTGAAAGCAGTGAGGGAGAAGAAACTGATGATGATTACAAGAGTGATTCTCCTGACTCTGAAGACGACTCAAATGATGTCGTTCTTGCTTTTATCGCCTCAGACGAGGAATATGTAGACGAGCGGCCAGCTACAACACGCTCAGGACGAGCAGTAACAAGAAGAGCTGAAATTGACTTTTCATTCTTTTGAGTGAGGATTTGTTAAAAACAGCTTTCTAGCTTTCAGCTTTCTTTCACTAAATTACGTGAAATGTAACAAAACGAAATTTTAATGCAGTAACTTTTTTAATACTTTATGTATTTTATTCATGGGGGGCTTCCAAAAATTACTCTGATGAGGGGGGGCATGCGAAAAAAATCGGAAATGCGGGGGGCTCATACAATTTTCAAATTACACTCCTCCAAATCCCACCAGCCCCCCCTACCCCATAAAAAATGAACGGTCCCTAATGATCAGTGGTACCATGAAAATGGGATGTTAGTTAATGAGAGCAAGCACCAGTGTCTAATCCTCGGTGATACGGAGTATGGTTTTTCCTTCCCAGTAAAGGACACGTTAGAGATTTTTGGAATGGAAATAGATAATAATCTGAATTTTTCTAAACATATATCAAATGTATGCAAAAAGATTAATAATCAATTTATATAATGTTATGTTGCGCTTTAGAAAACTCATACGCAAGGAAATCTTATTCAAACTTTACAAAGCGTATATTTTACCTCACTTTTATTATTGCTCCTCTGTCTGGCACTTTTGTGGAGCGCGATGCGGATAAGCTCGAAGCTTTAAATAAAATAATACTTAGATTTATACTTGAAGATTACTCGTCTCCATACAACACTCTTCTCTCAAAAGTCAGCTCTACTTCTTTGTTTAACAAACGCATTCAAAATTTCCTCATTCTGTTATATGAGTTTGTTTTTCACTCATTTTCCTACTTATATGAAGAATATGTTTTCACTCGGGTCCTCTTCCTATGATCTTCGTGGCAACTACATTCTTTCACTAAGTAAACCTAAAACAACTACCTATGGTCTTAATTCCTTTTCTTACTTTTCAGCTAAGCAGTGGAATGCACTGCCGGACTTTTTTCGTACCAGTTTTTTTGCAGACTTTAAGACTAAAATACAGGATGTTACCTTCATGTAGATTCTTTTTGCCTGACATACTTAAACTTAAAATTGTGAATTGTAAATGATATTTTCTTTCCTTGCATTTAATGTATATATATATTTTCTATATAGTTTTTATGTAGTGTCAGCTCGAAGATATTAGCTTGTTAGCTACTCTGAAATTCGAGTTTAAATAAAGTTTTATGTTATGTTATGTTATGTCTATAATCCTTTCAATCTTAAAACTCGTCTTTGCAGGACCAGTACTTTTAAGGCTTCCTATTTTAATCGTATTACTAAGTTACGGAATTTTGTTTGTTCACTTAAGTCCCGTAGTAGTTTCTCTAATATGCAATCTTTTAAGCAGTTTGTTTATAAAACTATGTTCACTACTACTCTGGTTAATACTTATGAGGTGGAAAGATCTTGTACGTGGATATTAGTGATGACTACTAGTGATGTCACAGGTCGAAGTGACTGTGCCTACCACGTCCACTTTCTTGTACTTTGTTATTTACTTTTGTTGTTAACGTACATCTAGGGTTTGAATTTTTTTTTTCAAGGGTAAATGAGCTATTTAACAGCATTAAAACTGAAATTGTAATTGTAAGTAACAACAAGGCGGTGCCTTGCATGGGTTTAGGGTCTTGTTTGCACTTGCTCTTATGGGGATCAGCAATCGTTTTTTAATTGTTCTTGTAACTATAATTAATTACTTTTATTCTTTAATGATATGTCTTCTTGTAAATTCTATCATGATTGCATTCTTGCCAATAAAGTGTCAAAAAAATCTCCTGGACCCTCTTCTTAGAAAGATGAGACCAGAAATTTGCCATCTAAATAAATGTGGGGTTGTGACTCCTAAGCCTTAAGATTTTCCACCAACAAGTCAGCCAGATCAACAAACTGGCCAGTTCTGATCTTCGTCACCAGCTTCTCCGGGATACGTGAATATCCACAATAAATGGCCTATTTAGCGATGACAGAAGTAGCTGGGATTGAAGACCCTAAATGTGGCAAAGATGAGCCATGCCAGCCAGAAATAGCTTGTGGTCCGCTCGTTGCACTGCCAGCACCACACGAAGATGGTGCCCCCACGATAGAAGGGTTGCATAAAGACGAATTACCTAGACTAAAATATGTAGAAATAAAAGAGGGTACACTGAGGATGTTACCTGATGAATGGCTTGCAGAAGACGACGATCGAGACGAGCGTCGAAACGGTATTAGAAGACGTTGACAACTGTGCAACATTTCCCGCTAACGGAGATGTCGCCGAACCTGATGCGGTCGTTGTAGAACGGTTCTGCATCGCCACGAGAATTCGAGGTAAAGACTCCCTAACGCTTGAGAAAAGGCAGCGGCCAGATCCTGCTGGGACATGATAAAGGAAGGCGAGGACGTCGCTGTAGTAGAAAGAGGCCAAGAACTTGTGTTGGAAGGAGATGAAACCGAAGAATCCCCATGTGATTCCAACAAGGCGACTTAGAACTTAGCACTTAGAATAAATACTCCCAAAAAAGACAGATTCCTCTAATACTGGGAGGGTACCGGTCAGCGGTTACCACCTGTGCAGATTTGAAGGCACCTTAAGTGATCTAATGGCGGGCAAGTAGACTGCCTAAAACAGCTTAATGTAGAAGATGACGTAATAATTGAAAACTGAGACATTTGCCTATAGTTGGCAAAAGGTAAGTTGGTGAGATCTACGCTGTTGTTCGTGGAGCGGGTCGTTCGCCATTTGTTCCATGGAAGTCCTCACGTTTGTAATACACCCATTCTGAAAAAAGCGCACTAAAGTTGCCGAACACACCAAAATCGCTGAAAGCTAAATGCACTAGACCATGCTAAGATGCACACAGGTTCCAGAGCATGATGGATCTTGGTACATACGCCTCTTGCACACACCGCTGACCAGTAAGGTGAAACAAGCGCTCCTTGTTGTTAACCCTGTTAAATTGCATTTAACTGCATTAAAGAGATGCCCATTGACTGATGGAAATGAGTCATTAGAGATTTTTGTACAAAAAAGCCAAGTAGACTTGCATTTTATTGGCGGGTAGTAGATAATTAACACTGACGCGCAAGCATTTTTTGCAAGTACTGATTATGGCGTTTTTTTCGGAAAAGGACTTGTTCAGATTGGTTTTCCTTCTTTGTGCCAATGTTCTAAAAAAAAATTGCACTTTTACAGGGTCAATGACAGATTTTACAAGTCACTAGCTACGTTGGACATTGGCAAAAAAATTGATATCTGGAAAAATAGTCTTTTGAATACAGTTTTAACATTAAACCTTGGAATTGCTCCTTTTTCTCTTTACAAACATGTTTCGTACTGAATTTGTTAAATTTGACTATTATATATTGAAAAAAGGCTAATTTGAAAAAATTGGTAACTTTTTTTAACCCTTTGGTGACGGCCAGCGAGTAGCGAAAAAACCGCAATTTACCAATTCGTTTTCTTTGGATTGGTTTTCGGCTAATCAGCATAAGAATGACTAGAAATGAGTTTGCAACAAAAAGGGCATATTTTCCGGCATATTTATCCAATTTGTGCGAATCTATTTCGAGCTTTCTTTCTCGCTCTACTTTTTACCTTTGCCTTTCTTCTTGTTGCCCACTTTATCGTCTTTCTTTTGCATGGAATTGTGGCTGGCTAACTTTTTAGGAAAGGAACAAATTTAATATTTAAAGAGTACTAGGAAAACAGCGAAATTGGCAGTGGGTTTTTCCTCAAAATGTTACTGTTTTTGTGATATTTGTAACTCTGTTAGGATTGGTCAGAATATCCAAAACGAGGTATTGGATGTAAAGATCTATCTTTGCTGACGTTGTTGCTTACCAACTTATTAGCTTAAACTGAAAGCTAAATGGATCCCGAGAAGGAAAATATGCATCGTTCCATATGGAACGAAAACGACCAATGTAGTCGTCAAAGGGTTGCAAGGACTTAAAATAAACCTATTTAAAGAAGCCTTTTATCGGTGCTCCCAATATTTTTTCTATTCTTAATTATTATTTAAAATTCTTCATAAGTGCGCATGCTGTGCTGTTAGTTTAAATGTGTTAAATTTGTGCCATATAATACACCGTATTCACAAATGGCGGACACGCGGGAAAAAACTGGTGCCTAGTCATGAAAGCGAGGCGTTGAAGGATAAACAAAAATTGCAAATGAAGACTTTCAGTGAACTTGCAGAGTGTTTAGCACGGATTCCACCTAAAATAACTTTCTACGGACTTCTTTTTAAATACAATTACGTGGGATGTCCTCTGCTTTTAATGTTTAGTAGCGATTTGCTGTTTGCAATCAAAAGGGACGCGTATATATTTAAGGAAACAGGATGATTTTGTAGGTTTCCGAAGCATCAGAAGCTCGAAAAGTAGGCGATGGCTGGAGAAAAGCGGCAAACATGTTGGCCCAAACTTCACATTGAAACCGAATACGAAAGCCAGATCACTACAATTCTGTATTGGATCAAATTAATTCCGTCGCTTTGGAGTGAATTGTTAGAGGTACGTTGGCAGAGCTTAGCAAAAATCTCATGCTTTCTTTGTCATTGCCAAATAATTAAAAATAATTTTATCAAAATTAGAAGCTGTAGTGTGTGAATGCTATTTGCCTGGTATCTTTTAGGGCATTATCTCAGAGAGCTCTTGGTAAAAAAGTGATATAAAGCTTACATTTTACTAGGTTAAACTTTTAAGGCAATGTTTTTGTCAGGACTGAATTACACGGCAAGCTTCTGTTTCGAATAATTGAATTCGAGTCTGGATCAGTTTAAGAAGACCATCATTTTATTTATTTATGTATTCTTCAACTTTCAAATGTTATGGAACATAAAGTTAAAACTCTTAACTGCAAAGCAAAGCGCAAAGTGGGTCGGAGGAGCCAAAGGTAAGAAATACGAAATTACTCGCTGAAATGATATGTGGCCGGCTCACCCGGAGTCTAGCCTCCCCGCAGACGTCCTTTGGGGTTCGTTTGTCATGCATTTATACTAAAAAAAATCGTTCTAATTGATGTCCTTCATTGATAGAGACCAGAGAATAACGTCGTGGCAAACAAAAACCAAACATAACTTCATCGAAACCTCAGTCACCTCTTCTTTCCTGTCTTCCTTTTTTCCATCTCGACTTGAACTGTTTTGCTCAACGGCAGACGTCTCTTGCGTTAACAGTTGCAAGTACGCCATATATTTGCCGCTAATTTCGTTTTTTCTTGCCACCAAGATTTGTTTATATTTCTGTTTCACCGAATTTCAGTGAGCTGGCTTTCGTAATCGGTTTCAATGTGAAGTTTGGGCCAACTGGACCAACATGTTTGCCGCTTTTCTCCAGCCATCATCCACTTGTCGAGCTTCTGATGCTTCGGAAACCTACAAAATCATCCTGTTTCCTTGAAGATATACGCGTCCCTACTAAAAGCAGAAGACATCCCACGTAATTGTATGTAAAAAGAAGTCCGTAAAAAGTTATTTTAGGTGGAATTCGTGCTAAACACTTTGCAAGTTCACTGAAAGTCTTCATTTGCGATGTTTGTTTATCCTCCAACGCCTCGCTTTCATGACTAGGCACCAGTTTTTTCCCGCGTGTCCGCCATTTGTGAATACGGTGTATAGGCCTTTTGCATTAGTTGATCACGTAATCAACTTTTGGTAAACACAAAAACAGTTCGCTTTTGAAACATTTTGTTAACACGAGCTGAAAGAACATATTAAAATTAGGTAACCTGTCAATTTTCAGCCGTACATCTCAAAAGTAGCGATTGCAATGGCCCCCGAAAATTAGAAGACTTAAAAGGATTTGTGTATATATACAAAAACTGCTATATATAATATCAGAAACTCATAAGGAGTTGAAATGTGTAACCCTCATATGTTTACTTTGTCTGATGCTCGTGATTATTCATTTTTGAAAGTACCATATTTGGAACGAGAAGAAGAGATAACTGACCAATCAAATTTCGTAAACAACGTGACGTAATTTTCCTTCAAGTTCCCGCGCCCGCTTAAAAAAATGGCGCGACAAACGGGAGAAAAACTCCCGAAGGCCGAGAAAGCTTACAAAGGTTGAAACCAGGAATATTACCGAAACACTGATCAGGATATTATTGCCTTACCACCCGGGCCAAACGTAACATTATAAAACCCATTGAAGGCCTCGCAACTTCTTGAAGTTGTTACTTCAAAAAACGATGCCTCGTTGACCCTCTGCACAGTAAACTTATACTGCAAATAGGCTTTTAAAATTCTTATGTTAAAAGTCTAGAATAAACAGTGAAAAATATTTCCAAATAAAATTCATTAGCTGCTTATCGAAAAGTGTCCAAAACCTGAGCCTGACATCTTCGCAAGAAGTGATGCTTGTAATGAATGTGAGAAGCATTTTAAAAACGTAAATTAAACTTAGATGTTGTAGTCACGATCGTGTTTTGAGCTAATTTTATGAATGAACAAACTCAAAACAATAGACAGAGAAGCCGTTTCTTGAAAATTTTTATTCAAAATCCAAAAAGTTAATCCTTTAAAGCAATTCGGAAAACACTATCTGGATCCTGGATCCGTTCGCAAGTGAAATCGGCTGAGCACATGGCAAAATTCAACACAAAATCCATGTCAAATCAGGGCACATTTTGTAATTTTTCTTTAGCGCCGAAGAGAAAAATTTATAAAACGTCTATGAAACATTTAAAAATACATAAAAACGTAATTGTCTTGGCCATAGTGTGCAAAATGTACCTAAAAATTCAGCAAACACTTCGCTGACTTGGTTGCATTTCAAAACAGACCATGGGCTCCGCCGTGAAGAAAACAAGGTTGAATTCCTCGAAGGACGATTTCTTGATGAAAAGCTTCCCTTTCTCCACAAAAAGAAAGCTGAGCATTCTTTTGAACTTTCTCTTTCCATTTTTTGTCTTTTAACGGTATATTTTTAACCTTGAAAAGCAGAACTCT